GGAAAGAGGGAGGGAGGCTGTACAGAACGCCGTGCTAATTCTGTGTGGGATCAGCCAAGAGCCAGTGCAAGGAGGAGGGAATGCAGAGGGGAAGGAACAGGCCCTGCGTTTGGCCATGAAACTGCAGAGAGGAGTGGTAGTCCCTGACTCTTCCTCCCACCCAGCATGCAATCGCACTTCTACTTTTGTGCTAGTGCGAGGGCTAATACACTCTCACGGCTGGCCTCTTCACAGAGCTCTTCATTTGCTGGATTCGTTTTGAGGTGATCAAAATCCGAATCAGGTGATGACACATCTACACGAGCACTTGATCTAAGAGCTTGCTGCGATAGAGTCAAACCTCTCACTCCCCACATCATCTCTCATGTTCCCCTGACTGGTGGCTGGACTCACTGACACGACAGAGACCACAGCCCAGCCAAAACAGGGAATGGTTTTCTGTCTCAACGAGTCAATGAGGACGACTGTATAGCCAGGTATTTCCTAACACTAACATAAGGTGAGAGTGAGACTTCATCCTTCCAGCAGCAGTACGCCACTAAGTGATTTCAGCCCTATTAGGTAATGGCACATTAAATCTCTCACTGTGTGGCATTATTTCCCCTAATGAGCCATTTCAGGGACTCATTTCCATACCCTAATTTAGCACATCTTACTAAATGTATACAGGCAAGGCACAGACCTATAGCATGAGGTCCATCTCCCCAGCTTTAAGTGCAGATAATCTCATTATTACTCATGTCTTCCCACTTATACAACTAGCAATGTATGTTAGCCCTTTTTGCCACTTTACTATTTATTTGCTAGTACCCTCTACTTTCCCTCCCATTTCCAACTGCACCTACTATTTACCTTTCACCTCCTGGAATCAGGGATTTTAAGCGAAAAATTCCCCCACACAGGTGTGGCTGGCAGTTTTTGCTCCCGGTACCCTCACCTGTGTTTATGCACATTTTGCTGAGTTGTCTCAGTTTGCCTAAATGATCCAAACCATTTTTTTAATGCCATTATTTATGCCTCCACTAATCTCTGTGCTGTCCACACCGTACCATCTTGCATTTGTTTCCAGACCGTCCCACGCTGATCCCAACTAGAAACACTTTTCCGCTTTCTTTGATTAGTCAGTTCCTAATCAACTTAAGCAGTACTTCATTTAATTCAAAGATACTTTTTAAAACCAAAATATACCACACTACTAAGTTAAAGACCTTATAAAAGTCTATTACACACAGACAAAACCCGTAGCAACAAAATTTCACGTATCCAAACAACAAAATCTCATTTGAGCAGACCTGTTTTCACAAATTGAAAAGCTGAATAGCACGATTATACAGCTATTCTTATACCATCTAAATTCTTTATCAAATTTTCCATAGTTTTTTCCTGGAACTGATACCAGATTAGCCACTCTTTACTCACTCACCCTTTTTCAGTAGTGATGCAAAATGTTACTGGTTTTTCGCTCTTCTGAAGTCTCCCTCCTGTTCGCAGATTTATTAGAAATCAGTCTCAGCCAGACATCCAGAGACTTTATCAAGTGACTTAAAATTCCCTTCCTGACTTCAGCTTCCCTTATGAATTTTCTAAATATATCTTATTTCTATATCAGTTACCATCTACTACCCTTTCTCTCTACCCATTATATGCACCTTTTATTTTTAAACACTATGTCCCTTCACAGCAAGAAACTAGCAACTGTCAAGAGGACTAAACTGCAAAATAGGAAAAAGGTCATTTTCAGGATACTTTTAATAGGCACTAAGTAATTCCTGGGATTTATAAATGTGTATAGATACATATTAAGCACAAGTTATAATCAGCACATAATGCACTTTTTTCCCAATGCATCTTATTTTTGTGGCAGGGAGGAGAGCAAAAAGGATTACTTCAGTTCACTCCTGAATTCATTTTGGCTTAAATAAGTACTTGGAGTTCCCAACACCATTTCATATATTTAGGAGATCACCTGTTTACGTGTGCAAGTGTGTGAATCCTATATATAGATTAACAGATGTCCCAAGAGCCAATCCAAGGCTGTTGTACATGGAGCTCAGCCAAAGTTCTAGAATGACCAGAGAAATTCAAAGTTACTCAAAGACAGACTGGAGTGTAAGTTTTTTAATCACAAACCAACAATCTTCTGTTTCCTTTATCCCTCTAAATTAATCTTTAAATTAATTTTCAAATTAGAAATAAATCCGGTCATATAAAAGGAGAGATATCTCTGCTGGCTAGAAAATAAGTTCCATAATTGTACCCTTCTACCCACCGCTCTCATTCAACTCGTATCACAGTCGATGCAACATTTTGCGGGTTTTGTACACTTGTCTGATTTTCCCACCCAAAAATGGGCACAATTTATTTATTTCACAAATATGAAAAATTCTGAAATACAAAGTTTGAACAAGGTTTTTATATCTCTAATGAACTGTTCCAGAAATTAGTAAAACATTCCAGAGAAGTCTGGGAGCTGGCATAGATGACTGCTGCCAGCAGTTTAAGAGGAGGGGTAGAGAAAAAGTGGGGGGAGGAGGGGAGGGAGGTGTACTAAGAGACAAGTAACATTGCAATACAGCTACTATCAACGGAGTTACACTGTTAGTGAAATACAGCAAGTCATGATTACTTTTTGTTGCCTTAACAGGGAACCCACAGGCATATTCCAAGACCAGAGCTTACTCCTGCCTACTCATGGCAGGTACCAGCTCAGAGCAGTATATGCCTAATATACAGAGGCTACACCCATAGGGACGCTTTCAGGACACTTGAACTCCAGTCGTGGTACAAGGGATGCATTAGTAGCAAGCAGTAGCAAGAACAAATATTTATGATGAGCTGAAGTGTTTTTTGCAGCTCATCATCTAAATCTGCAACAGCGTGCCTGCCCTTACACATATACACCTGAAAGCTCTTCTATTTCTAAACCACACTTTGCATTTAACAGCATGACTAGAACTGCTACAGAAACTAGACTGCAGCCTCTGCATCTCAGCATCCAAGCGAAAAAAAAATATCTTATCTTAGAGACTATGTCACATACCAGGACAAATTTATGACAACAAATTAAAAAAATATTCTGTATTTCCTGTTGTTTTGAGAACTAGTGAAGAGAAGCACACAGCTCTGAACTGCAGCTTGTGGTGCGGCCCTTGTGCCTTTTTGTGTTGAATACAGACTTACTGCCAAAGGGACTCTGTGTTCACATTTCTACAAAACCTCTTCTTCCAAGAAATCCCAAGTGATACTCAAGGTCACCCAAGCAAGGTAATGATTAAGCACAGCCATATGGTGGATTACAACAGACAGCACGAGCAGTAGCACAGAACAGGAAGGGAGGAAAGCTGCT